GTTAGATGTAGGTGGCACTAGCTAAGCCAGCATTATTTGCCTATCCTTAGTTGACCTTGAGAAGGTAGTGGCCAGGTGCCTTGAACCGTTGCCATCCATGTGCTGTAGGTAGACACACAATGCTGTTAGGGAGGGAGTTCCAGGATTTTGACCCAATAACACTAAAGGAACAATGATACTCCCAAGTCAAAATGGTGCAAGGCTTGGAGGGAAACTTGTAGATGGTAGCATTCCATGTATCTGTTGTCCTTGTCCTTCCAGATGGTACTGTTTGTGGCTTTGGAAGATGATGTCTAAGGATTTTTGGCAAATTTGTGCAGTGCATTTTGTAAAAAGTGCACACTGCTACTATTGAGTGTCAATGGTAGAGGGACTGGATGTTTGTGGATGTGGTGAAAGTCAAGCAGACTGCTTTGTATTGAATTGTGTCAAGCTTCTTGAGTGTTGTTGGAGCTGCACCCATCCAGGCAAGCGGGAGTAATCCATCATGCATCTGACTTGTGCCTTGTATATAGTGGAAAGGCTTTGGGGAGTCAGGGGGTGAATTGCTCAGTGGAGGATTCCTACCCTCTGACCTGATCTCCTCTCACCTCCTCTGCTCCAATGTAATTTATCCAGAAAAAATAACACATTCTCTCCACATACCAACCCGTCTTCAATGGCAGGATCGAACAAGTCAAGCTTCCCAAATAACAGCATGATGCCAGAAATGCTTACCCGAACTCAAAGACGAGTGTTGCAAGCAAATTTCTTCCCTCATCACCACTGAAATTATTCCATAGAGGTAGGTATCCCATCATCAAATCACCTTTATTTACACATGGAGAGTTTTTGACACTGATCCAGTTCCCTCAGAGCCAGTTCTCAGAGTGAACAGGATGTCTCACACTCCTGATCTTATTTGTCAGCCGGGGAACACTGACTGGGGCTATTAATCTGGTCCAGGGAACTCATATTATGGTTGACTTCATTATAGTCACTGCAGGGATGAACAACAAATGCTGGCCTTACCGGTCTGCTAATATTCCAGGTGAGGATTAACAAAAAAAAGCTTCCTATCTGCTTTCCCTCAATAAAATTCGAATGGTGACGTTGATCATGAAAATTGTCTATAAACTATCATTACACCTTTCCACCAGCAGATGTGCAGCATCACCACCACTGCCAGCAAGATGTGATTATAGCATGACTTGTTCACAACATAAGACCATAAGTAATTTAGGGTTAAAATTTCATTCCCCAAGTTTAACAATGACTGGGCTAGGGAGCAAAACACTTAAATGGGAATTTTCTTACCAATTAGGCCTATATAGGGAATGGTTTCTTGCCACGTTTCTGCTTGAATTGCACCCACTGTTAATTCTAAGGGATTTAGGCCGGGCAGAGACAGCTCAGAGCTTCAATTCAATATATAATCAAAGGGGAAATGTCACTTTGACATCCCTCCCAATTCTTAGCGTTTACACAAGATGTGAACTGAGTCACCAATTCACTGAAAAAGCAGAACTGCAGCATCTTTAAAAAACTGTTGAATGGTTTAAAAGGTCAATAGGACATCAAGGTATTATTCCTGAATATTATATTATGCATGTTTTTGGTCACTATTTTGTTTTAAGTCAGTTGACAGAAAACCTTTGTGTCATGGATTGTTATCACCTAAAAATTGGCACACTATATTCATAAATTATACTATATTCATATATTATACAATCGATATTCATGTTTTCTGGAGGATGAAGAGGAGGAGAAGCTGAGGGACTAATTAGGTGAGATTGCACCCAAGGATTGTGTTCACTGAGTCTATTCTTCCCAAGAACATATGCAGGTGGAGATGTAGCTAATCTGTTATGTTTGAGCAGCTTTGCAAGATATATTACGGAAGTGGTGACTGAGTAACACCACGGTCTGATGTGTAGCCAAATGTCATGCCACACTGGGCATTGCTGATGGTGAACAACAATACCACTACCATGAATTGTTATGCCACCTGCTCATACCAGGCTGTGAAATGAACATTACCAATCTATATGCAGGGGCATTACAGACAGATGATTTGTGTCATTTGTTAAACAATTATATCACTTTCTCCATGAACAACACCATGTGGCAATAATTCAGTTTTTTCTAAGGAGAAGGATTTCACCAACCCCTCGATTTCATTGGAGGAAGTTGAGATCTTGAAATATTGGGCTGAATTTCCCCATCTCTGAACTAGTTGGACACTGGTAAGACAGCAGGGAAAGCATGGCGATAATGACAAAATGTGGTTGCCTTTCAGCACAGACAGAAAGCCAGACAGTTTATCATAGAGTCATACAGCACAGAAACAGGCTATTCAGCCCAACATGTCTATGCCAACAAACAGTAAACTGCACTAAGCCCATTTACCGGAACTCGATCTATAGCCAACCAAGACCTACCATTTTAAATATTCATCCAGATGCTTCATAAATGTTGTGAGCCAGCAATGAACAGTCAAGCAGGGGATGGACAAGTTGATGCAGGATGCAGTTCAATGTCAGTATCACACTACAACATGTGCCACCAGCATTTGCAGCAAACACATTGCATGTACCTCAACCCAATGGCTATGTTTGAACATCAAAAGGAAGGTCAACGGAAGGTCTACGGTCAGTCATGGGGTGATTTGTACAGTCAGGAAAGGTAGTGAGGTATCCTGAGTACGTGAGTGAGGAATGCAGAGAGCGGGAAAGTTTCATAGTTTGGGGAGATGGGATGGGTGAGAATGATTGAGTGAGGATGCTGCATGCAGGCTTGAGAGTGGTAGATCTTGATGGGAGGTGGGTGTATCAGTAAAATTAGAGTGAGAGTGAGGTAGCAGAGAGAAGATGGTGGCACTTACCCTTGTGGCGTACAGAAGGTCAGTGACATTCCTGTTGTAATGCCATATGTTCCTCCGGAATATTGACACGGCCTTGTCTCAGGCACAACTGAGCACAAGTTTCCATGAGAGCAACAGCATGAAAGTGGCATACATACTGAATACGGAGAGCAGTATAAAATTGTGTGAGAACACTCGCCAGGACAAGTGGAGAGAAACCCTCCATGGAACTCCTTGAAACTGACATTTAGTCAAAATTTCAGAAAATTCAGCCCCTCAGTTTTTCTCTCCACAGGTGCAGCCAGACATGCTGAGTTTCACCAGCACTTTCTGTTTATACCTTAGAGATTATGTTGTGTATTATAATAATAAGGTTCTTTTTGGCATAATTCCAGATCGGGTATATCTCTCAAATGATTCCTGTTAACTTCAAGTAGAGACAGATTGCAAACACACTTAAGTAAGTCTGTAGGACTGAATGATTCTGCCCCAAAGGAAAGGAGATGATTATGATCATTCCTGTCCTCCAGACAGTCTGTGCAGTAAATTGAAGTTACATGATAAATTCCCAGATGTCATCAGTGTCCGTGTAAAAATTTTCAGTCCCCAGCAATGTATTCCTTCACCACAGGGAGCACAAAGTAAGACTCTCAACTTTATAATACAGAAAGCAACGTGAGACTACATCAATTCAAAAATGTACATATAAGTTTATTAAAGAACGAAGCTTGCAATTCAAAATCATGGTAACGCAACACACATTAAATACATTCTGAAGAAAGTGATGGTGCAGTCTTATTTCCAGTACAGAACATTTCTAAATTTCAGTTGTTACAGTAAGATTATCTTAAGTGGTCTAGCCATCAAATATTAAAGTGGTGCCTAAGCCAGTTAAGCGAATCTGAGGTTTAAGCAAACCTAATGAATCAGACTGTCTTTTAGTTTGATCCTCAATGTGTGTAGTTTATCTTGGGTTACAAAAGTAATATTTTTATATATAGGACTTATCTCTTAATTGTAACTACGTTCCTCTCATTTTGTTTTTCCAAACTTGGTTCTGATAACCTTTATTTTGACTGAAGGACAACCCTCTCTTATTCTAAGTAAATTTATATAACTGTCAATATTTATTAACTTATGGATCCTTTTGATCCTTGGGAGGTCACGTTCGTGAGTCCAGTGGTGGTCAACTTTCTTTACCTTGGCCAGGAATCTATGTTTTAAGATAATAGCATGGTTCTCGGTTGTGAAAATTCCCAGCTAGTTATGGATCCTTTATCAGTTCCTACATTATGATACTTTCACATCATCAAAAAAATGTGCTAGTTTGTATTTTCTTTTGTATATGTCTTTTCTGTGTTTTGTTGTTGTTAAGCCTATAGATGCTAACATATATAATTTGGCATTGTGAACTGCGTTTGTCCTGTCAAAGTATTCAACCTTTTTGAATTCTTTAATCTTTTATTCGTGGTAACATAGCTCTTTTAACCTTCCCTTTATTATTGTCATAATTCTTCACTGGATGTTTTCATAATTATTTGGAAAATATTCCCAGACTTAGAGATATATTAACTGAAGTACTTTTCTGGCTCACTTCAAATTCACTGTTTATAAACTATTATATTCAGCACTTTTAATTTTCAATTGTACTATTGTACAATTTTTACTAATCTATATCACAATTAGGTGCAGACATTTTGGAATAAACACTAATGTATTAAGACGTTAAACTGGTGTTGTTTGATTTCTGATCTAAAGACAAAGGAAGCATTGATAACATGATATCTTTTATTGTGGTTGGTTCGCTCGCTGAGCTGGTTTGTTAGTTTGCAGACGTTTCATTACCCTGCTGGGTAAAATCATCAGTGCAGCCTCCAATGAAACTCACTTGTCTCCATTCACATGGATCAGGAGAACCACCAGTTCAACTGGGACAACATCAAGATCCTAGGACAGGCCAAACGGGAATTTCTAGAGGCTTGGTTCTCCATCCAGAAGGCCATCAATAAACATGTAGAACTAGACCCTATATGTACACCACTGCGAAGAAAAACCGGAAATGAGGTAACCAGTTCCAACGGACCCCAGAGTTTAAATACCAGGCAGGAAAACACAACAGCGCTTCATCAGAGGCTGCACTGATGATGTTACCCAGCAAGGTAATGAAACTTCTGCGGACTAACAAACCAGCTCAGCGAACCAACCAACCACAATATTCACAACTCGAGCTACAAATCTACTCAAGATATCTTTTAATTTGGGTACCTACCAGTTGTTTTCTTTCTAAATTTATCTTATTGGGGGAATTTTGATAATGGGTTTATGTATGCCATAAGTTATGGACACTGTTTGGGTTCTATAGTGTGGCATTTAAAACTCTTATCCTTTTGAACTGGTGCAGTGAAACCAGAACCACAACTGTTGGAAGTTTAGTGTACTTTTTTTCCCATCATCATCTAATTGAACAGATATTTGCTTTCTGAAAAACAGCTTTTATTTACAAAAAGCATCACCTATAAATAATCATATGCATTAGCTGAATGTACGATTGGTGTGTTATATGCTTAATATATTTTCTTAAAAACATACTAACGACTCAGGCCAATAATTTGGAGTATGAAAAGGAAGAGATTTATGGTGTCAAGGTAGAGATTCAATGCTGCAAATATATACTCCTCAGGGCTCAGACTGTATCTGTGCTTTCCTCCCAGCATTAATTGAGTATCAACCACCAGGTACTAAAAAAACAAATAGAAAGAGAAGTTTATATTTGTAATTAAAATATGTTAAATGTGCTGAGGTAAAAGTAGCTTAGCAGGAGTTCCATCAATTGGCTATGACACTATTGCAAGGGGCTAATATAATGCTCCTGCAAAATTTCAGCCATATCATGGTGTTTTTTAAATAGTACAATAGCATTTTATAGCTCCTTATCAATTACTTTTGGATGGAGACCTTGTGCTCTCTACCTCTAAACTAGAAGCTCTGGGTTCAAGTCCCAGCCAGGAGTTGTTGGCCATGGAAAAAGAATTTATGGTGTAGTTCTAATCAGCCTGTGAATCCTTCCATCACGTCCCCTATTCCCCAAATATAAAACAATATACATGAAGATTGACAAAAAGAAGAATTACCCTTGGTGCCATGACTAATACATAGATGAAAATGGTGGTCATTCTACACGAGCCTTATCCGGCCAACTGCAATAGGGATGAATAGTCAGTTTGTCCCAGTTCAAATTGTTCAAATGGTACTGTGGAATCTTTACCATTCACTCAATAAAGCAGACACAATTTCTATCAATGGACAGCAGCTTGGAAAGAGCAAACCTGAATAAAAGGAAATTGATGCTCATCTTTCCTGGACCTGAATGTTTGAATAAATCACATCAGGTTTCCAACCACAGAATCAAAGTGTCTCTAAGTCCTGTGTAATTGTGACAAAGGCAAACAGTCTTTCTGCCTCCTTCTCACCGTTTGTATCTTTGACAGAGCTAACTGCATCATCTTCCTCCTTTTTCTGCCCACCATTGTCCAGCTAATGGGTTCCATTCTTATCCAACTCATTGTAACCAGAGAATTAGGTGCAATGTCTTCACTTTCTGCTCCAGTGCCAATGCCTCTGGTGTCCCCCATGCTTTGGCTCCCCCGTCTCTATCTCCCATTTCCTACCTACATGTTACCCCGATGACATCATCACAAAACACAGTATTAGTCTCCACATGTGTTTTCACGACTCCCAGCTCGACTTCATCACTGCCTTTCTCAATCCCTCCATTGTGAGATGGTTTGTCTAACATCCAGTAACTGGATGAGCAGAAACTACCTCCAATTAACTATTGGGAAAGGCAAAACCATTGTCTACTGTCCCACCAGAAACTCCATTCCCTAATCACTGACCTCAGCTCACTCCCTAGCAACCGTCTGAAACTGAACCAAATTGTTCGCAAACATGATGTCATATTATGAGATTAGCTTTCAACCACATAGCTGCACCATCACTAAAGCTTCCTATTGCATCGCTCACCTCTACATCTGCATCAGCTGATCTGCTGCTGAAATTTTCATGCATGCCTTCATTACTTCATAACTTGAATATTCTCGTGCACTCCCTCATCATGTGTGGCACAGTGGCTCAGTAGTTAGCACTGCTGCCTCACAGTGCTGGGGACCTGGGTTCGATTCCACCCTCAGGTGACTGTCTGTATGGAGTTTGCCCATTCCGTCCATGTCTGTGTGGGTTTCCTCCCACAGTCCAAAGATGTGCAGGATAGGTGGAATAGCCATGCTAACCTGCCCATAGTGTCCAGGGATGTGCAGGCTAGGTTAGTTAGCCATAGAAAATGCAGGGTTACAGTGATTGGGTAAGGCAGCGAGTTTGGATGGGATGCTGTCGAGATGGTTGATATGGGCTGAATGGTCTGCTTCTACACTGTAGGGTCTGTGATTCTACCCTCCTTAAACATAAGATTATCAAAAACTCTGCTGCCTGTGTCTTTATTCACAAGTTCTGTTCTCATTGATGAATATTGGCTTCTTGTTAAGTGACACCTCAATTCTAAAGTATACGTTGATGTTTTCAACAGCCTCTTTTTCCTTCCCCATCTCTAATCTCTTCCAGGCCTGTAACACTCCAAAGTACTTTAGATTGTCCAATTCTGTTCTCCTGAGCATTCCTGATCTAATTGCTCCACTATTTATCTGCAAAGGCCCTAAGTTATGGAATTCCTTCCTTACCTCACTTTCCTATTTTAGGATACTCCTTAACATCTGCCTCTTTTACCAATTTATTTCTAATTTGCCCTATGAGATCCTTATGTGGTTTGGTGGTTTTTTCTGATACCCTATGAAACACCATGGGATGTTTAATTCTGTTGCAAATGCTATATAAATGCAAGATATTGAGTGTGGCCAATTTGACAAGAGCGTAGCTCTCAAGAAAATTCAATTGAGGTCAAGTGGAATATTTATCAGGGTATTTTGCTGAGCATATAAACGATAAGTGTTCCAAAGACTAAGCAAAGATTCAAGAAACATAATGTTAAATGGTTTTGCTGGAAGATGTAAAAAGAAATAAATAAGATAAAAATGGCTGTAAAGAACCTTGAAAGGGAAGAATACAGTTGATGTGAAAAAATTGAAAAGAGCAGCCAGGGGATGGGAACTAGAAATAATCATAGTTAAGAGGCAAATGCAGCAGTATTCAAAGTAAAATGTCCTGGCAATAATTTTCTATCAAGAGCATTACAGAAATATTTCACTCCATGTTACAGATAGAAGTCACAGTTATTGTACTAATGTGTGAGAAAAGCTTACAGAGCATATAGAAGATTGTGATCTGAAGAGACAAGACATGAAAAATACTTACAATCGAGAAGATCAATGTTCCTAAGGAGGCATAAACAATCTGAAGCCACTGTAGGAAAAATACAAATAATTTAAATTGAAACTGATGTACTTTCTCTGAATATAGTGGTTTATTATGCAATATGTTTTGGTCAGCATACTGTAAAAATCCAATACTATGGCCGGAGAGGTTTCTTCTAATGGACCATTTACAATTTTGCACAAACTGTGGCCTGCTTCCATACTGTAGGGATTCCATGATTCAGTGTGGAATCAGGCACCCTTGGAGCACACATCGGAAATGTGAGCACAGAGGTCATTGGGAATTTGTGGTGTATGAATGTTGCTGGGACCACTGATACCTGTCTTCAACTCCCTAATATGAGCTTATGATCACTTTGTGATGAGAGAGCAAATTGGTAACTGTTATTCACTATTCAGAACTATAATCTTTAAACTGTTGTGTTCCAATTTTGTGCTTACAGTTTTGATCAAATTTCCAGCTCAGACATATATTATTCAAATCGCAATTGGGCTAAACATTTACCTTTATAGTCCGCACTCCATGGTAGTTCACTTGCATGATGCCAGCTCAATAACTCTAAAACTTTGTTTATTTCCTCTGGATCCTCTCCAATGTATTTTTGAAGATATGCTAGGCAACATTGTACTCGAAATATTTGAAATACAATTATAATCATATTGTATTGCAATTACTAAATTTCACAAATAATCAAAATATCTCCTATGTAAGTAGCCACATTTGATTGGATTCTTTCATCAAATGACCAATACAAAACACAAATCTAGTTGCTTTCCCATTATCTTTAATGGAGAGTGAGCTGTTCATCATATCATATACCTGTCTCCTATTCATATGTATGTTATGATCACCATGTAAAATTCCTCTACTTTGGTAGGCATCCCACACCACACACACACACACACACACACACACACACAGACATTGCTAGGAATATAGGAACACGCCATTTCGCCCATCAAGCCTGCCTTGTCAATTAATTTGATCATGGCTGATCAGCACTTCAATGCTTTTAATCCACACTATTTTCATAACCTTTAATCATATTGATAGTCAAAAATTCACCAACCTCAACTTTAAATATAATCAAAGACTGACTTACCATAGCTCTCTGGGTTAGAGAATTCCAAAGATTCACAACCCTCCGAATAAAAGAAAAGTCTCCACATCTCTGACCTAAATGGCACCCTTTATTTTTAAATTGTGTCTCCTGGTTCTAAATTCCTGGGTCAGGGGAAACATCCTATCTGCATCTGCCATGTCTATCCACTTAAGCATTTTGTATGTTTCAATGAGATCACCTCTCATTCTTCAAAGCTCTAGGGAATGCAATCTCAGTTTGCCAAAACCTTCTTCTGGAAACATTCCTGCCATCCCATGGATAAGTTTGATGATTTTTTGTTGCAATCTCTCTATAGCAACAATATCTTTCCTGAGATAAAAGACCAAAACTGCACACAGTACTCTGGTGCAGTCTAACCAAACTCCTGTACAATTGAAGCAAGACTTCAGTACTCCTGTACCCAAATCCTCTTGTGATAAAAGCAAACATTCCATTAGCTTTCCAAATCTCTTGCTGCACCTACATGTTAACTTTCAGTGACTTATTGACAAAGATACCTGGGTCCCTTTGCACATCTACACTTTCCAACTTCTTATCATTTAAGAAATATTCGGTACATCTGTTCCTCCTATCAGAGCAGATAACTTCACATTTTCCCACATTATATTCTATCTGCCACATTCTTGTCCAATCACTAAGCCTATCTAGATTCTCCTGAAAATGTTTTACATCTTCCTCACAACATATATTCTTGCTTAGCTTTGTATGATCTGCAAAATTAGAGAAGTTACATTTGGTCCCCACCTCCAAATCATTGATATTTATTAGGAACATTAGGGACCCAATTACAGAGCTTTGCAGTGCCAGACTAGGCACAGTCTGCCAATATGAAAATGACCCATTTATTCTTATTCTCTGTTTTATGTCTGTTAGCCAGTCCATTATCCATGCCAGCACTCTAACTCCTGTACAATATACTTTAATTTTGATAAACTGCCTCCTGTATGGGACCTTATCAATGTCTTTTGAATCTCCATATTATAGGACATCTATCAACATCCCTTTATCCATTTTGTAGTTGAACATTTTATTTTAAATGTCTTCTTTTCCGCTTCTTTGAGGAAACATCAAATTATTATAAAGAATATGTTGGTCAAAATCTTTGCTAGGGAATGTGAGGTTATGTGTATGAAGGGACTAGGAAGCAAACAATGGGCAGGGTGGAATGAAAAAAGACAAATAATTTCAAAATAGATGGGAATAGAAAAATAATTTTAGTATAATGCAAATGAGTGATAATTAAGTGTGAAAATCTAATGTAAGATAGGATAACATCAATATGACTTGTTCATGATTACTAGATGATTCTTTCCAAATGACTATATATAACTGGATAATGTTACCTTAGCATGGCCCAGTGAGAAATATTTTTAGTATTTACATATAGTGCTCTCAAACAATAAATATAGGTGTGTTGATATGAAACCTCAACATATGCAGCACATTTTTCATATTTAGCCCTTTACAAGAAATGATTGAAGACATCATTTTATATTTTCTAAAATTAAACTTCTCAATGTAATCACAAGTTTTAAAAAAGAACTTACAAATGATTGTATTATGGCACATAGAATCCCAAATGCCACTAAAACCAATAGTACCACGAATAAAACTCCACTTCCTGCTGTAAAGTCCCACTGAAAAAAGAAAGATTTGAACTATTTAGATTTCAGCAATGAGCAGTTTAACACCAGAAGGAATTGGTACAGTATTGTAAATGGTACCTTGGTTTGCAGAGAAAATAGTGTTAATCCAAGCGACACAAATGCAGTTGCACCAACAGCCCACATCACTGCATCAGCGCGATAAAAACTAAGAAGGAATAAAAACATAAAACATTAAATGATTCAAGTTAAAATTACATCCATACATTTGATTAATGTTGCATAAAGGATGTAATTTAAGCAAAATAAAGACTTACACTGAAATAGCTCCCAACAGCAAGCCTTCCAGAATAGTCTGCAAATGAAAGAAATTTCACATCGTGACTTAGTTTCTGAAGGGTTTAAATCAAAGTGAATGTTATTTATGCCATCTGAAGGACATCATGCCTGCCAATATCACAGGCACTGAATCTGGCAATTTAGTGCCAACCTGTGTCGAAAGGTGAACAGATCTATGACATGGACCACAAATTCAGAAACTGGCTGTGACCATCAGAGCAGGAGGTTTTGATTTCCACACAGTCTTGCCATCAAGAAGCTGTTAAGTGTGGTTATGAAATGAGACAAGTTGGAAGGTGAGAGACATGATAACCGAATTATAATACATCACTGAATTTGTACTATTTGTAATTAATTTCCCTTAGTGGTGCAACCACTATTAACAAGATTGCAAGTTAGCTTTTATCTGCCCTCAACAGTGTAGACTGGCACTTCCCAAACTTTTCTCCAAGGTGATCCCATTTTGAGGATTGAAAATTATTGAAACCCCTCAGTGAAAAATGTGAGAGGTCGTTGGGAGTGAGAAAATCATCGATGAGAGTGGCTTGAGGGAACAGAAGATTTGTGAGAGTGGGGTGGGGGAGAGAGATCCCAATATTTTAGCTAATGATCCACTTGTTGTTCTGACCGACCCCCACTTTGGGAAGCTCTGGGGTAAGGCATTCATCACAGTGATGCGCTCAACATTGGAGCATCAAAAGAAACACATGCTAACTGTTAGAGATGAACTGAGCAGATAAGCAACTATGGGGTTCAAACACTGACCCCATGTTTAGATCAAAGGCCCTATTATGGACTCCAGAGAAACTAAAGTAATATTTCACTGAGTGTAATATTGAAAATACTAATATTAATTTATACAATAACTTACAAATAATAAAAGAAGCATGATGTTCCAAGGTGCTTTACGTCGAACGCCATCGCAACAAGATAAGATAATGATTAAAATGAAGACGGCAGGACTGCAACAGAGAGAGATGCACTTCAGAGGTATTGAAATTAAGTGACAAATAACCAACAGAACTTGTTCAAAGATACTTACAACAAAGCATATGTAAACCAATAAGTTTTGTTTACCCATGCATTCAAGGTTCTCCTGTTAAATGAAACAAGGAGATATATTATTAATAGACAGTCTAGATTTTTTCCACCAAGTGTATGCTGCAAATATATTACAAATTTTCAATGCAACAACAGCAACAACAAAAACAGAACTAAAAATGAAACAGAAACAGTGAGGTCTTGAAGCAGTACCAGTTATAGACAGCAACTGTACAGAGAACAGATAAATTAATGTTTAAAATGTGGAAACTATATCATTCTTTTATGAGGGGAAAGAACAACAAGAGGGATGAGAGCCAACATACACACATTGGGAAACATATAGAATAATCTGTAAAGTGCTTAACAGCAGAATGAGATGATTAAATGAAACAGTTATTTGCATGTAGCAATAAGAGGCAAGAAATATTCAAGGAAATGTAAAAGATTACAACACACAGAAAAGGTGATGAAAGCTTAAAGAAATTGTGAATGAGAAGGTAGAATGGAAGACAAAGAAGAACTGCCTCAAGTGTTCCAAAAAGGAAATGTTTTGTCACTGCAAGTTCATTGACATAAATTTCATGTTATGATGAAAGACATTGAAGATCTCTGATTAGAATGGCAGGACTCTCTTGCTCAAATGTCTTTGATAATAAGTGCAAGCAGGCTCTCTGACTGCAGATATCACAGCTTGATGCTATGGTCATCTGCTGAGCAGACACACAAGTATTCACATTTCCAGTGATAATGATTAATACTGTAAGATTTGCCTAAGTGTGAATTCTAATTGAGTCAGTATCCAGAACAAAGGTTGGGAAAGGAAAGGCCTAATGCAAGTTAAACCAAGAAGAATCATGCAAATAAACTGTCTTAGTCTTTGTGAGCAAAAACCTATAAAGCTGGGGAGTAAGTGTATGACCTGTCATACTTAGGTTGCTGGTGATTTGTTGATCTGGATGTCATCTCAGTATCAACATGACTAGATTAGGGGATAGACACTAGGCTCAACTTTACATGTCACTCACTGATCAATAGTACTGAGTGATTTTGTTGGAAATTGAGGATTCAGAAGGTGGAGCTTTTGACACTAAAATTCCACATTTTTTTAGTCCTTAGTTTAGATCTCAACAACTTCAGACATCATTGTAATTGAGAGATTTCCTACTTTTCAAGAAAGGTGTTAGGGTCCCAGATGAAGGCAGTACTGGACAAGTCGGTTCCCAAGCTGGTTTGATAAGTTTTAATTTTTCTTTGAGTTTATTGTGATGGTCAGTAACTGAAAGCGTTCATAAGAGGCTGCCATTGTGCTCTTAACATACAAGTTTGTTACTCAAAAGGAGTACACAAATGATATTACAATATACAATGATTATCTGAAACAAACTCATTGCAAAGATCAGAAAGAAAGAAAGATTCAACACTTCTGCCCCAGCAATAACCTCATAGACCTGGGAAATTCAGTGAAGGATCACCCTTGTCTCCACACTAAAGCTCCTTGTTCAGATGGTAGGACAGTGTTTGGTTTCAATTCAACATATTTCTGCACTTAAACAATGGTATTCCTTAAATTTAAAATATTTTCGTAACATTTTTAAACAAACTGCTTACTTAGCTCACATTACTTAACATCGGTTCTTTTACCTTATGTCTGGGACCTCCATGGCCTACTGTTTCTGGATTTCTTACAAGCAATTTGTTTTTTTTTACCCAGCCCTGACTGGTTAGACTGCTATTGACAGTTGAAGCACTTCTGCCATTAGGGATCTTTTCTTTTGAAACAACTCGTTTCTATCTGAATGAACTTGCTCCTGGATCCCCTCTTTCTTTTGATGGGCTTTAAAACTCAAGTCAGCAAACACCAGTGCAATTACCTCCTCAATAGGCTTGCTGCTTGTTAACTAAAGTCACATGATTTCTTAGGAATTTTTTTTTTCTCAAATTTATTGTTTGAAATGACTTTCTGATCTTTACAGAACAGGAAATTAAAATCCATTTTCCTCTACTTTTGAACTTGCATTGCCAAATAATAATAGTAAAGAACTAATTTTCAAGCCAAAAGCCAATCTGTCAGTAATGGAGAAGGGTGCGTCTTCAACAGACAGAAAGGACTATTTATTTTGTTCAGTCATGGGGCATGGGCATCGCTGGCTTGCCAGCATTTATTGCCCATCCTTGGTTGCCCATGAGAAAGTGGAGGTGAGCTGCTGCCTTGATGACAGCAGTCACTGTGCTGTAGGTAGACCCACAATGCCTTAAAGGAGGATTTGCAGGATTTTGACATAGTGACACTACAGGAAAGGCGATATATTTCCAAGTCAGGACAGTGAGTAACTTGGAGAGGATGGACAAGGGAGGCGCAGTTTATAGTATCGCCGAGGCCAGATGCCAACTCTCCGACACCTCCTCCTACCGCCCCCTTGATCATGACCCCACCCCCGAGCACCAAACCATCATCTCCCAAACCATCCACAACCTCATCACCTCAGGTGACCTTTCACCCACAGCCTCCAACCTCATCGTTCCCCAACCCCGCACCGCCCGCTTCTATCTCCTTCCCAAAATCCACAAACCTGATTACCCTGGTCGACCCATTGTCTCCGCCTGCTCCTGCCCCACCGAACTTATCTCCACCTATCTCGACTCCATTTTCTCCCCCTTGGTCCAGGAACTCCCTACCGACATCCGTGGCACTACCCATGCCCTCCACCTCCTCCAAAACTTCCAATTCCCAGGTCCCCAACACCTCATCTTTACGATGGACGTCCAGTCCCTATACACCTGCATTCCCCATACAGATGGCCTAAAGCCCTCCGCTTCTTCCTGTCCCGCAGGCCCGACCAGACCCCTCCACCGACACCCTCATCCGCTTAGCCGAACTCGTCCTCACCCTCAACAACTTCTCTTTCAATTCCTCCCACTTCCTACAGACAAAGGGGGTGGTCATGGGTACCTGCATGGGCCCAAGCTATGGCTGCCTCTTTGTAGGTTACGTGGAACAATCCCTCTTCCGTAGCTACACTGGCCCTAAACCCCATCTCTTCCTCCGCTACATTGATGACTGTATCGGCGCTGCCTCGTGCTCCCACGAGGAGCTTGAACAGTTCATCCACTTCACCAACACCTTCCACCCCAACCTTAAGTTCACCTGGACCATCACTGATACCTCTCTCTCCTTCCTGGACCTCTCTGTTTCCATCTCTGGCAACCACCTGGAAACCGATATCCATTTCAAGCCCACCGACTCCCACAGTTACCGAGAATACACCTCCTCCCACCGGCCTTTCTGCAAAAATGCCATTCCCTATTCCCAATTCCTTTGCCTCCGCCGCATCTGCTCCCAGGATGAGGCATTCTACTCCCAAACATTTCAGATGTCCTCATTTTTCAAGGACTGCAACTCCCCCCCTCAGTGGTCGACAACACCCTCGACCGTGTCTCCCGCATTTCCCGCAACTCATCCCTCACACCCCCTCCCCGCAATTACAACCAAAACAGAATCCCCCTCGTCCTCACGTACCACCCCACCAGCCTCCGGATCCAACGCATCATCCTCCGACACTTCCGCCATCTGCAATCCGACCCCACCACCAAAGACTTTTTTCCCTCCCACTCTTATCTGCTTTCCGGACCACTCTCTCTGGGACTCCCTTGTCCGCTCCACACTCCCCTCCAGCCCGACCACACCCAGCACTTTTCCCTGCAACCGCAGGAAGTGCTACACCTGCCCCTACACCTCCCCCCTCACCCCCATCCCAGGCCCCAAGAAGACTTTCCACATCAAGCAGATGTTCACCTGCTCATCTGTTAATGTGGTATACTGCATCCGCTGTACCCGGTGTGGCTTCCTCTACATCGGGGAAACCAAGCGGAGGCTCGGGGACCGCTTTGCAGAACACCTACGCTCAGTTCGCACTAAACAACTGCACCTCCCAGTTGTGAACCATTTCAAGTCCCCCTCCCATTCCTCAGATGACCTGTCCATCCTGGGCCTCCTGCAGTGCCACAATGATGCCACCCAAAGGTTGCAGGAACAGCACCTCATATTCCGCTTGGGAACCCTGCAGCCCAATGGTATCAATGTTGACTTCATAAGCTTCAAAATCTCCCCTCCCCCTACCGCATCCCAAAACCAGCCCAGCTTGTCCCCGCCTCCCTAACCTGTCCTTCCTCCCACCTATCCCCTCCTCCCACCTCAATCCCCACCCCCATCTCCTACCTACTAGCCTCATCCCGCCCCCTTGACCTGTCCGTCCTCCCTGGACTGACCTATCCCCTCACTAACTGCCCACTTACGCTCACCTTTATTGGCTCCATCCCCACCTCTTTGACCTATCTGTCTCCTCTCCACCTATCTTCTCCTCTATCCATCTTCTACCGCCTCCCCCTCACTCCCTATTTATTTCAGAAACCCCTTCCCCTCCCCCATTTCCGAAGAAGGGTCTAGGCCGGAAACGTCAGCCTTCCTGCTCCTCTGATGCTGCTTGGCCTGCTGTGTTCATCCAGCTCTACACCTTGTTATCTCAGATTCTCCAGCATCTGCAGTTCCTACTGTCTCTTTCAGGTGGTGATGTTCCCATGCACCAGCTGCCCTTGTCCTTCTAAATAGAAGTGTTCATGAGTTGTGAAGGGGTGTTTCAGGATCTTTGGTGAATTTCTGCAGCATATCTTGTAGATAGTACACACTGCTGCTGCTGAGTGTTGGTGGTGGGGGGAGTGGATGCTTGTGGAAGTAGTGCTAAAGAAGCGGGCTGCTTTACCCTGGATGGTGTCAAGCTTCCTGAGTGTTGTAAGATTGTGTGACCATCTCGATCAATGATAGGCGTGGCAGTCATATACAGATGATTCCCTGAGATGAAGGGATATGAGATTTTAAGGCAGTTATTTCAGAAATAGTTAACAGTGCAAAAGGTGAATGTATTTAAGGGAAGAGGATTCAGGGGGAGCAGAAGGTGCCTCAACAGATGGTGATGAAACCCGCTGACATCTCCAAGTTCTGTCCCATCCTCCCAGGAGAGGGGTTGGACACCAGTTCATCCATATAAATACATATGGATGAAGCTGCATAAATTCTGAAACCATGACAGAAACTGGAGAGTCTTTGTAATTTTGATTATCTATTTCATCAATTAATTATATCTCCTACTTCACACAATCAATGGCTCGAATCTTCTAATCTGGGTTAGAATTCTTATTTCCCAATCAGATCACTCAAAAGATTGTCTACTTACCCCTTTACAGGAGATTTCTTGCTGAACCTCAGTATGTGGGAGGAGGGGGCGGGGGCAAAGGTCACAGATTGGTCAGGTGTCTGGTGGAGTAGGTGTTGGCTGCCCATAAGGACAGGGCTTGTGTGTCAGGGTGTGAAGGATTGATTGGTGTGCCCATGGAAGCAGGTTGTGGCCAGTAAGGAGGAGAGATAGGGCTTGTCAGGGGACTTGTTCAGGTCTTGTGTCTGTGAGGTCACCGGAGTGTCCAGGGTGGGGAACTGTCAGGTTACTGTTTTGAGGAAGGTGGTTGAATATAAGGCAGAGTCGGTGTGAGTATTTGGAAGATGCAGTAGTATAGTTAGCCTGGAGTTAGACTGGGGTTTTATCACTCTAACTTTTCCTAAGTTAGTATTAAATGAGGAAGAACAGTCTAAAGACCCCTCTTCTGACTCAGAGTTGGAGACTTTTTCAGATGTTTCCAGATGCTGGGTAATTGCCTATCGGAGATTCAAACATCCTGGGCAATTACCACACAATCTGTGTACCAGGACTTCTGAGAGGTCCCTGGCATATATCCAAATGGTCAGAGACTGGATAATCTGGGCCTTTGTTTAAATTAATAATTGTAAAGTTAGGATACA